ACTTTTTTTTGGATTGGGTTAAGCAAATTGCTATAAATAAAACCCTAAGAAGAAAAATATCACAAACATTCCATGTCAGATTAGGAGAAAACCTAAATTGTGACCAAAAAATAAATTTCAAAAAAGTTCCTTTAATGAAAATAAGAATTAAAAAAAGGCAAAATGAAAATGCAATCAGATAATTAGCCACTAGATACACTTCGAATTTAAATGAAAATGCAACCAAATATGCATATTCTCCATTATATGCTACCAAGATATGTAGGCAAAATGCTGTAAATAAACCCCGAAAAATATCGTGAAATTTCTTTGTGAGAAAATAAACTAGAGAAAACTTAAATTAATGTGACAAAAAATTTGAAACTTTGAAAACATTTATTTATAAAAAAAGACGTAAGAAAATGAAAATTTTAGGTTGTATTTTGTTTGAAGGAAAATGTAAGGAAAGGAAGGGAAAGGTTGAGAAACCTATACAGGGTTTGTAAAAGTTTCCCTACTTTTTCCTTCAAACCAAACACTGTGTATAATGTCTGAAGCGGTAGAACTGAGTAAGTTTTTAAGAAGGTCATGAGCCCCTTAAGTCTAAAACCGAAGTACTATGCCTTTGAGTATTTTAAAATTTACTTATTTTTTCCACTAAAGGCGAAGCAATAAGTAATTAAGTTCAACAATTTCAATAGTTTTCAAACATCCCCAAGTCTCAACAGAATTTGGGTATATTGAATGGATGGCTTCATAATCATAAATAAGTAGCAGTCTTGTGTTAGGGTTATTAGCAACTAAACCGATACAATGCATGGATGAACTGAAAATTTGGTTAGGTTTTGATTTAGGGTAGGGCGATCATTTTCATCCTGGCCAAGGTCTGGGCCCATAAGTTATTTTAATATTTTACACATAAAAGCTATACGCCTAGAACCAGATTAGGCCAGGATAGGTAAGGGTGTCAATAGACTGGTTTTGAATTGGACCCCATCCAGTCCAAAATCAATTTAGAGGGATTGGATGGACCAATAAGACATATTGGATTGGATCAATTAGGTCTAAAATAATTTATTAAATTGGACTGGACCTGGTCCACCCATAATAAATTTATATTGGATTGGATTGGATTAAGCCAATATCTGGTCCATTGATATAAGATAAGAATATATGTGTGAATGGACCAGATTTGAGTTGAAACCAATCTAAATCAAAATGAATTTGAACAGATTGGATGGTCCAGACATTGAATTAGACCAGTACAAATTGGTCCAAAACATTCATTGGATTGGATTGGACCTGGTCCATTTATAATGGACTTACGGACTGGATCGGATTGGACCAAATCCAGTCCAAATCCAGGTTATTGCCCTTGTTACAGGTACAAAGCCTACCATGGTCCGGCCCATGATAAAACCTGATTCAAAGCTACATGTTGGGTTGTCAAATTTGAAGAATTTCAACTATATAAGGCTTCAGTTGGGGTTCAGGGTCATTGAAAATGTATCAAATTCCAAACCAACTTGACCCTAGTTGCACCATTGAAAATGCCATTCTGGGTCTGAGTCCTAGCTATGGTCCATTTTAGGGTTGGTCTTGGTTTGCCTTTATCCTAATTCAATTCATCAATTTTATACCCCTACTTTGTTAAGGGGATATTAGGAATTTAATGGGTTGCAAACATTAGTTGAGAGAGAGAGAGAAAGACTAACAACGGATTTTATTAGAAACAACTAAAGCCTCTGATGGTTTTTATTTGGGGGCATTCTTTTTCTGGATTTTGAGGGGGGAAATTTGGTCATTGACCAAGAAACCCATATTCTTTTTTCAGATTTATGTGGGGATCAGGAAATTAAAGTTTATTTTCCTAGGTGAGTAAATAACTTACTTGGGTAAGTGATAGCCATCTCCTAAGTGAGTAAATAACTTTCCCACTTGGGGGAAAAGTTGCCAACACTTGAATGGAACAAAAATGTCCCTTTTGATATTAGATTTTTATGGTTAAAATGGTCATTGCCTTTTTACATGGGAAATAAAATAACATAGATAAACACACTTACCCGAGTAAGTCTTTCTATGAAACACTTATCTAGATAAATAACTTACCAAAAAACAAGTAATATAAATTTTATTATAGATAATTAAGACCTTAGAATATTTTTATTTTGAATTCTTATATTTTTATTTTTGATAATTTAATTTAAAAATAGGTAGCCACATATAAAAAATGAGAGGTCTGTGTGAAGTGTGGAGTGACAGGACCCCTCACCTCAACTCTTTCAATTGCTCTGTGGAAGAATAGTTCCATTGCTTTCTTTCTTTGTGGAAGAAGTCATTTCGATTTTGCTCTTTCCGTCAAATATACAATCATTTGCGGATGACTGAGTAATTAAGATGGTGAATTGACATCACTCTAACAAAAGAGGCACGACATCAAATCCATGAAAACCTACAGTTTCGTTTGTTATGTCCTATACTCGTGTGCATCTTGCTCTGTCCCCTTCCCCAATCCATTCTCCAAGGAAATAAAAATTTAAAAATAATGCAGAATTGCAGACATGCTGTCAAATTCCCATTGCAAAATGGCATGGAATGGAAGGATCCAAAATGAATAAGCAAATAATTTTCAATTGCAAACATAGTATTAAAAATATTAGAAATATTTTTTGATAATGACATCAACGAGAAAACATTATGGGGGCACAGATGTAAATTCCTCCAGCTTTATTACGCACCTCAAAATGCTTTGGTGGTTGCCACGTAATCTAGAAACACAAAACCCTCTCTTTCTCTCTTGAGTCTTGATATGGAATTAAAAGATGGTTGAAAATAGTCAGTTGAAGGCTAGTATCAATTCAAGATAAGGAATTCATACAACACTTGGATACAAGGTGCGGCGTAAATTTTCATCTGTCTTTTCATGCATTACGATTTGCTCTGTGGGAGTGGGACTGAGCCACTGAGGGTCTTTTTCATGCATATGTATAAATGCTATTTGAATCTTGTTCTGTTCAGGATATTGTATCCAAAATCAGAAAATATATGTTTTTAAGATTAGAAAAAGAAAAACATAGGATCCGTTTGATTTGCAGGAATAGGGGTTTGGAATTGGAATGGGCTATTCCGATTCCAACTGTTTGGTTAGACAGAATCAGAATCTCATTTCCATTCCTGCTGGAATGGCATTCCCCTATTTGAGGGAATGGTTATTTCCTGCCCTTCCCTTGGGAATAAAATTCCATTCCGATTTTAATTTCCATTTCTATTCTTGTTTCACCAAACAGACAATGGAATGGATCATTCTGATTCCGAATTGGGAAGATTTTGATTCTAATTCCAATTCTGATTTTAACTAAAAACCAAGCAGACCCTTAAAATGAGTCTTGCTTGAACTTCATCCCTCTGCAACCCTAAATCCACATGTAAGCAAGGATCAGTAGGGAAGAGATGTTAAGTAATTGTATACACTAAGGCAGATACTTGGTAAATAAGAAGAAAAAGGGGAAATAAAATATTGATGGTTTGTACCAAGAATTGATGTCGGCAGGCTTTGACTATATTTTGTATGAAAAACCTTTAAAACGTTTAAAAAATGTCTATATCATGTTCGGAAAAATAAACGTGTTCCACAAGTTATATAGAAACAAATATAATAAAACATTTTAGCTTCAAAAATCAAAGCCAGTGGTCTAGTCTCCATGGCATCTAAGCATATTAGCTATTTACTTGTACAATTAAATTATTGAGGTTTTGAAGTACAGAAGAGCATACAAGAAAGTAACTCGTGATGATCTTGGAGGACAAAATCCTCTAATTTGAAATTTACATGCGAAATAACCACCCATACCAGAAATACCCATTTAAGGTTCGGATAAAGGCGAACCGTTGTTGACCCGGATGGTTCGATCATTTGGCCCGAAACTGTTCAGACAATTGGTTTCGATTTATCCCTAACCTGGTCTTCTGTAAAATTATTTAATGATACGCTGATCCAGACAATTGAACCACCAACCCATTTGACCTAGACAATAAATCTATTGATTTAAAAACCGGTGGCTAAAATGGTTTCAGTTCTAAGTCAATTTTTAAAACTTTGATTCAGAACATTAAAGCTTGAAAACTAACACTAGAGATGGAAGTATGATCCTTCCTAATTAGAGTTTAGGGTAGGTTTTCAAAAACCCAAAACTCTGGTGATTAGGGACGGGGCAGGGATGATATTTGTCCATCCCATCCCACCTAGGTGCCCTTGACTTTCATTAGGGGTGGTCATGGGTCAGTTGGGTAAATATTGCATTGAAGCTAGAGCTGAGTTGCTCTATCCTTAAAAACAAAGCAATAAGTATTTCAGTAATTAAGCTCATATTTATTGACAGCTGTCATGAACATTTGGATCTCGTGCAAGAATAAAATGATGTTGAACATCGATGTTAGGAATATTGTATCATTTTCTTATAAAAATGATGTTGAACATGTAAAGTCATGATACTTATTTTTTGTTTGGAATAAGTGCAGCAACATTTTTAACATAGTCTATATTATCCAACGTCTAAAATGACGCCATACTAACGTTATATTATTGCACCACTGGTAATAATGTATATTAAAAAAAAAAGAACAGTTGCTCCGAACCACGTTTTTCAATTTCCAAAGGGTGTTGAACGTTATGTGCCTTGTGGCGCCGTTTAGCTCAGTCCACTGTCCACCTCTGAGAGCAAAAACTTTTATTGCTTAATCCCACCAATAAAGAATCTTTTGTGCAATCACGGATGGATTACAAGACATGGCCACGCTTCCTTGTTCCTGAAAATTTTTGCACTATCCGACGATGTTGCTTTAACTTCCACCTTCAACCTTCCCTATTATATAAAATTGGCAAATAGTCAACCTATCTTTTTTTTTTTTCTTTTTTAAAACCTACACCGTCTCAATGGAGGAATCTTTCAATACAAATATACTGTGGGCCCCTCTGTCAAAGACGTGGGCCCCTCTGTCACTATATATAGATTCCACTGGCCGTAGTCCATAGCCCATAAACTAAACCTCATCACTCAAAAGACAGAAACCATGTTACAGTTGCAGCTGTTAGCTTTTCTTCTGGTTTTTCCTCTGTATTTCTTGTTTCGTCTGCTCAAACATGGCAGATTTCATGTTATTCCAAGAAATGGGATTCTTCCACCAGGTCCCCCTAAGCTTCCCTTTATTGGGAACTTACATCAACTGAGTGGCTCGTCTCCTCATCGCGTGCTACGTCAACTTTCTATGAGATACGGCGCGCTCATGTCTTTGCAACTCGGTTTCGTGCCAACTCTGGTGGTTTCTTCTGCAACAATGGCGAGGGAGTTCTTGAAAACTCACGACCTTAACTTCGCCACTAGACCCTCCCTCCTTTGCCAGCAGAAGCTGTCTTACAATGGCTCCGATTTGGCTTTTGCACCCTATGGCGATCACTGGAGGGAGGTAAAGAAGATTTGCACTCTTGAGCTCTTCAGCGCCAAGAGGGTGCAATCTTTTCGGTTCATAAGAGAGGAGGAGATTTCTCTACTGGTCAAGTCCATTTCCCAGCTTGCTTCTTCTTCCAGCTCGGCCAATCTAACCCAGATGGTGTTTGATCTCACAAACAACATAATTTGCAGGATTGCTTTTGGTAAAAGCTTTAAGCACGAAGGGTGCCAGAAGAGTTCATTTCATGAACTCCTCTTTGAAGCTCAAGCCTTGATGGGTCGCTTCGCTTTCACTGACTATTTTCCAGTGGTGGGATGGCTGTTTGATGCTCTCACTGGACTTCATGCTAGGCTGAAGAGGAACTGCCGAGGCTTGGATTTATTCTACCAACATGTCATCGATGATCACCTCGACCCCAGGAGGCCAAATCCTGAGAAAGAAGACATCACCGACATATTGCTTCGAATGCAGAAAGATGGATTAAGTTCAATTGATCTCAACATGAATGACATCAAAGCTATGATCATGGTATTAAATCTTCTTTCGGGGTTTATTCCTTTAAATAATACAACAAATATATACATCATTTCGTTATTTGTTCTGTCCGTGTCCGTGTTAATTTGAGATGAGAGAACTCTTAGGTTCTGTTTGTTTAATGTGCAAATCTGAACCAATACAAATTTTGTTTCGCACCAGTTCGGTTTCAAACCACTTTTTCTACTACACTGTCATAGTGCAGGGTCAAATCTTGAAATGATGTAATGATGCGGCCTCATCTTGACTTCAAGATGAAGTGACGTTTTGGTTTTGGTGAGACCACACTAAAACATTCAAGCCTAGTTAATTTTTCCATTTTAGCCCCGTGATACGATTGGCATTGTCGTATCAATTTTCCTTTGTATCGTACCAATCTCCTGTTTGACAAAAAAAAACATGTGTACGTTTTTCTATCTTATTTACACCTTCTAGCAGTAGAAATTTTGTATCTCAAAAAATTTATACAAAATTTGCATCACCATGATTGGCCCCCTCACACCAGATTTCTTCTCCCTCTTATTTCCATTCTCTTTTTCTTTTTCATACATTTTTCTTCCTATGCTTTTTTTACAAACAAAAAAGACAAATAAAAGCAAAAAGATGTATGTTTTATTCTTTTTCATTTATTTATGCTTTTTCATTTTAAATGTTTCATGTTTTTGTTGTTTGGTTAGATTTCACTTTAAACGTTTTTTATTCTTTATCTCAAATTAATACCCATTAAAGTATGTCACATCAGCATTTGGTTTCAAGAAACGGGGCATTAGAGGAAATAAGAATTTGATGTTTCTCCAAATGTTCCATGCACAAAAATCAAAGTGTTTCAATTTTTTATCATTTATTTGATAAACGGTAAAACTGAACATTTGTTTTATTTTGTTTCATATGCATTAAACGCCAACGCGTATGTGGTGCTGGTGCAAGGGTATTTTTTCAATAAACTCCCATGAAATCAAACACATCCTATATCAGAATTTACACTTCGCCTATATTTTACACTTCCATGTATTGACATCAATCGAAATGAATTTTGCACTGCAAATAAACTGACTCTTAGGTTTCATTTGGAAGGAGTATAAATACAAATGTATAGAATGCAAAACTTTATATTTTATATTATTTGTATGTATTTATACTATACATATTTGTATTTGTAGTCCTTCCAAATTGAGCTTTAATGGTGATTTCTGTTTTCGTTGCTTCTATCTGCAGAACATTTTCTTTGCCGGAACGGACACAAGCAGTGCAGTCGTGATTTGGGCAATGACAGAACTTTCCAAAAATCCAAAAGTGATGCAAAAGGCACAAGACGAAATTAGAGGCCTCATCGGCAATAAAGGATACGTAGATGAAGACGACCTACACCAATTTCATTACCTCAAGTGTGTAATCAAGGAGACGTTGAGATTGCACCCTCCAGGCCCATTGCTGGTTCAGCGAGAAGCTAGAAACCACTGCACTATTGATGGGTTTGATATTTATCCCAAAACTAGGGTCATTATCAATGCATGGGCCATTGGAATGGATCCTGAGACTTGGGAGAACCCAGAAGAGTTCCTACCAGAAAGGTTCTCAGATGGCTCCGTAGATTTCAAGGGACAACACTACGAATACATTCCATTTGGTTCGGGCCGAAGAATGTGCCCTGGAATGAATCTAGGAATGGTCACTGTGGAACATACACTTTCAAATCTTCTGTATTCGTTTGACTGGGATCTGCCTGTTGGGATCAAGATGGAAGATATCGACATGGACGAGCTACCAGGCGTAGCTGTGCACAAGAAAAATGACCTTCGCCTTCTTCCAATCAATTTCAATGGACATTAAGGCTATGTTTGGTTTGAAGAAAAAAGAAGAAAAACATAAGAAAACCTGTATAAGGTTTCCTTATAGTTTTCTTCCATTCCCTATTTTTTCCTTCAAACCAGACAGCATAAGGCTGCATTTACTTCTAATTAATGATGCTTCGTGCTATGGAAGCACTACCAATTTAAGACCAAAGGAACCGTATCCAAGACGACGATATGTATGGTCTGGAAATTCTACGTTGTGTTTAGGAAATACAAATATATATATATATATATATATATATATATATATATATATATATATTGACTCTATTTCTATGTAATGAATCTAGTTTTTTTTCTTTTTCTTTTATTTTTCTAATCTGATATAAGTGGGTCCCATCTGTTAAGTAATATTGTAAGATAATAGAAGAAAAAAAAAATGTTTGCCACTAAAGCTCAAGAGTACAAAAGTGGGTTCACTGCATATATCTAGTTTAATTGGTTCACCTTATATTATAATGGTGTTTGGTATTAATGCATTTATCTACCAAAAGTGATGATGACAGTTTTTATGGTGGCATTAAAATTAAATGAGATCAAAGTTTGCATCCAAGAAAGGCATATATATTTCAACGTTAGAATTAGAATTGTATTGCATGATTACAACTAAATATCTTTTGACAAGCAAATTAATTTATGAATGTAAAACTAAATTAACTTTGCATTTATATGGACAAAAATATATTTGTATTTATACTTTATTTGCATTCTTACTAAATAGAGCTTAATCATTTTGTTAGGACTATGTTTGATTTGAAGGAAAAGGTAAGGAAAAGAAGGGAAAAGTGAGGAAATTTATATAAAGTTTGTAAAGATTTTCTTATCTTTCCTTTCCTTTTTCTTTTCCTACTTTTTCCTTTAAACCAAACACAACCTAAGAATTAATTATTTAAATATGCCCTTGATTTCATAGATGACTCCGCTTGACACATATATAGGCCTTCCAGCTATTAACATGGTGTCATATCTGTTACATTTTGTCATAATATCAGTTTTATCCCTTCTATTTCAAAAATCCAAAGCTACGTACCCAACATCTAAGTCTCCGAATTGATGATGAGAAGACCTTGAAGTTGTTCCATTAAATTGATTTCATACTTCTGAAGGAGTTTAGGACCACTCCTACGTGCTAGGGTTCCCAACTCAGACGCTGTGGACGTAGGAGCGGACCACTCCTACGTTCGCTCTTGTTTCTGACCACTAGTTCATTGTAGTTTGGATATTGGATCTTATATTACTGGTTCGCTTTAATTATATAATGTTATCTTGTAGCTTTACTAATTGTTTGTACACGTTCCCATTATACTTGTATAAAAAGTAGGATAGAAAGTAATATGGTTTCCATGCACAAATTTATTTTGCTTAATCAGTTTGTTAGTTTACCCATTTTATTTATAGTCTCAGCTATAAGAAAATAGTATTAAACTTGATTCATATACAGTAAAATGTTCAGAAGGCCTATATTGGGTAATGTGACAGAATACAGATGAATAAAAATCAGGGTTTTCCTTCTTTGAAATTATTACAATTAGGGGTGGCAAATGGGTGGGTTGGATTCGGTTGGGTAAGTGTTAAATATCAATTCACTCATATTGACCCACCAACCCATCATGATCCATCACCAATCATAGCTAAAGGGTCATAACCAACTCTAACCCTAACCCACCCTGACCCACCCATATTGACCCACTGACCCATCTATATTGACCTTTAACCACCCTCACCCATACTAATCCACTTACCTTCACTTATAAATACAAAAATGGGTCAGGATGGACCCGTATACACAAAATAATGAATTTTGAGAGATTAATCTCTTTCAAGATTGTCACGTGACAAAAACGAATCAAGTCAACTTGTATACCCAAAAATTCAAAAAATGTAGATAAATGCAGAAAATTGAAGAAAAATTACAGAAAATGCAAAAAAAAAATACCAAAAATTGTAGAAAAATACAAAAAAGTTACCAAAAATTATTTAAAATGCTAAATAGATTTAGAAAATTCAGAACTTTTGCAGAAAAAATCAGAAAATATGCAAAAAAAAACAAAAAAATGTATAAGAGGTGTTTTAATAATGAACAACCTAGATGATAGTTTTAGTAAATACATGAAATTATAGGGGGTGTCAACATTATATAACTAACTAGCCAGTGGACCATGCTTAGGGGGAAATTGTTTTTTAAGAAGCATATTTTTAAAATATTTATTATCTATTTCTATTTTATTTCAATTGTAAGTCATATTAAACTTTATAGATTTATGCCAATTAATTAACAATATAGCTAGTTGAAAGTTTTTGGGAGGAAAGATGAGTTAGTTGAATGCTAGCTTTCCCTTGAATTAGATGTATATTTTATCAATTGGAGAAGTAGATAAAATTTAGGAAGTCTTATTTTTATGATTTTATTTAGCATATAAAAAAAGTTCAGGAGTGAACAAATGAAAGAGAACTCGAGCAATTTTAATTTTCATTTTATGAAAGCCCAAGGCTGATTCCATTAACAATAGAATTAACAGAAAATGAAGCTAGTGGTTTAGTTCATAGAAAATAACTGCTTCATTAACAGAGCTCGAATCTCCTATCCATTCATAGGGAGATGTTTCCAATATACAGTTGTAGTGTCATGTGGATAGATGTGAATAGGATTTTTGTGGACAGGAGATCTGGAGTCCTATTAACAGCTTCATTGTTTGATCTGAATAGGGATGTACTTTATAAAAATATGTTGTGTATTAATTGTATTTGAACGACAATCTATATTTACATGCTTACAAATATTTTCATATAAAATTGGGATCACCTATCAACTAAATACTCTAACACGTTCCAGCACTCTATCAACAAGATCTGATACCACATATCTCACACTCTTATAAAAATGAAATGCAACGTACTTTATTGGCAGGAGATCCCGATCCCTTCAAAAAGGGAATACAGCAATGGATCCTGCTCATGGGAAGGAATTGAAACGAGATGGAATCAGCCCCCATAACGTCCCACATCACATCTCCGCCATTTATTAGGAATATTTTCTGATCATGACATCATCATTCCTAATATTACCATCGGTAAATATTCCCAATAGACGACGGAAATGTGCTATGAGACGTCGGTGGTTCCAACTGCACGCAAGGATTGAATAGAATAGGGATCAAGTTGCGTAACAATTTGTAATTATTGGTGTTGCAGTTAATCTCTGACTACAAACCCAGCGCCTGAGTCTTTAAAAGCAAGCTCCATCTACATTGACTATCTGATTGAATCGTGTGGTGTTGCGATTTGCGAATATCTCTTCCACAGTCAAATTTTTAAGGCAGTACTTATCATAGTAAATTGGTTTGTTTTTGAATGATATAATAATATTAGAGAATTAGGATACATTAGCCACGTGGCAAGTTTTTTAAATAAAATGGTAATTAAGTGTTTAACTTGAATTGTGCTTTTAATCAGTAGGAGCAGTCCGGACCTTCCAAGTCCAAAGTTCCTAACACTTTCAGATCTACTTCCTACAAGTAGGAATGACAACGGGGCGGGGCGGGGCGGAACGGGGCGGGGACGGGGAGCCTTTTCCATCCCCGTCCCCAAGAAAATCCCCATCCTCGTCTCCATCCCCATTTCCGCTAACGGGGACAAGGTTATCCCCATCCCCATGCCCACGGGGATGGAAATCCCCGTGGGAATCTCCATTCCCCGTAATTTTTTATAATGTTAATAATTTTGTTTTTGTATTTTTATTTTATTTAAAAAATAAAAATAAAATAACTAAAATTTATAATTTATTAAAAAAGATTCAACCATATTTTTAAAACATTAATATATAGACGTATGTGTACATATATAATGTATACATACATACATACATATATATATATATATATATTAGTGGGATCCCACAGGTGGGGATTGGGGTCCCCGCTAACGGGGATGGAAATTTTCCTATCCCCATCCCCGCGGGGGGGGGAATCATCCCCATCCCCGCCCCACTCGGGGCGGATCCCCACGGGGATCGAGGAAATGGGGAAAATTGCCATCCCTACCCACAAGCATCCTAGCAATGTCCTGATAATCCAATATGGCTGTACATTGGCTTGCTGGAAGGCTTGTTGGTAGAAGATCCGGTTTCCACTAATACTTTATAAGTTTATATTGGCCCCAGCCTGAGAAGCCCGGGTAACACAACTTCTCTAATACTAAAGACTTCGGATTTATAACATCGGAGCTACCTGAAAGACTATAGCTGCACATCAGAAATATCTATTATACCTACACAGTCACTTAGGCTGTGTTTGGTTTAAAGGAAAAAGTAGGAAAAGGAAAGAAAAAGGTGAGGAAACCTTTACAAACCTCGTATAAATTTCTCTATCTTTTCTTTCCTTTCCCTGCATTTTCCTTCAAACCAAACATTAGGACAAAAGTTCTGAATGCCTCGTGCTAGTGGCACACAATTTGGATTGAGAGCCACAGATCTAGTGTTGTTGGATGGACTTTCTTGGAATAGCTTCAAGTTGAGATCTAGAACAAGGAAGAAGCTTTTCAAATCTCCCAGTAAAGTAAAACCATGAGAGTCGCTCTGCTTTGCACAATGAATTACGTCTTGAAAAACACATCCCTTATTGAATTGAAGGGTCAAATCCTTATCTCTTCTATTCAAGAAAGTTGGGGTCTCTAGAATGGACAATTAAACGTGATTCTAACTTTTTTAATGAAAAAGACAAGGACTTGGGACTATTATTATTTTGTCAACGTTTAGATAATTGATAAAGAAAATTAAATTACACTTAAAATGCATGTGTCTTTTTCCAATACCACTTAACAGCTGGTTAACAGCAGATATTGAATTGTTACTTTTTGAAAATTTGAGTACTAAATTATGAAGACCAAGGTAACACTAAGCCCAAAATACAAATTATTAAATGAAAATTATACAAAGTCAGTAAGAACATAACACCCATCTGCACATTGGAGATATATCCTCCTATGTTAACGCACATGGATGCCGTGGGACTGTGGGAGTTGGGTTAATGATTATCGAAGGATCTTTCGGTATCATACCCCAACTTTGACGTTTGAAAATTTGACCAATCAAAATCCCCCTTATAAATTTTGATGAATTTTCATTGTCCATTAGTCAGTTGGACTAACGTCATTTGATAAAAAAAAAAATGAGTCTCCAAAGTCCAAAGATAAGGTTGGGTGTTATGC